ATTATGAAACAATAAATAAAATGAAAAGGGAAAGAGTTGGGATCTTTTTCAGCATGCTGCATAAACAATTGTCCTCAGCTACTGGTGTGTTTTTTTCTTCTTCGTCGTCATCATAAAACACAAAGCCTTTGTTGTCGGTTTGAGGATTTTGTCACAGAATGTATCACTGTGGCCGCTATATTGTCCACAGCGGTTCAGCTCATGACAAAAACACTTCCCTGTCTGAGCACACTCTGAGCCCTAATTTTTATTTCCTTTTTTTCATCAGCTTATTTTCCTAGATGGCAAAAAGAATGCTGTGTATATTTATTTCTACTTTTTTAAACCACTAAGCAGTGAGTGTTAAAAAACTGAACAACTCACTAAAAGTACTTCATCAAACCGTTTTCTGTTTCCATCTTTAAACATTTTAATTTCAGAGCATGTAGAAGCTATGAGAGAAATATATTTTTTTATGATTCTGAATAAACACGAAAAATACATTATAATGAAAAAAATCTGAAAAATCCAGCATTCCTAAAAAAAAAAAACAGAACAATGATTTGTCTTTAGGACAACTGTCTGAGAGGATTTTGTATTTTTGTTTCACACGGTGGTAGCCATTGTTTACACAGAGATTCACCTTCATACAAAAACCTTCTATTTATCTGTATATATTTGTATTCCTAAACATTTCCATTTTCTGTTTAAATGACAGTCTTTTCACTTTTTTATAACTTGATTAACTTTCTAGACATYGTCGTCTAGAGTCGTCCTTTAGATCCTTTTTCTCTGAGGAGGCTGAGGTTTTTGTTATTAGATGCATCACTGTGATGCTATGACCACAGTGGCTGAATGCCTTACAAAAACTTTAACATTCTTTCTGATCACACACAACTTGATTTCACAAACGTGGGAAAAATAGCTTAGAAGCATTTTGGTTAGTCATCTTAATCAAAAATCCTGTTGATTTCCTTGTTTTATGTAAAAAAAAAAAAAAGAAGAAAAATATTGTCTGCTTTCCGAAGTTTGTCTGAATGTAAATTCCTGCCAATCAATCATCACTTACAAGAAACAACTTTTAAATGATACCTTTCTTCTTCAGTGATGGTGTTTTTCAGAATCAGGAGGTTTTTACCATATAGTTTATCACTGTGGCTGTTGTAATACACTGTGACACAACTCAGCACAAAAATGCCCCTCTGCACACTGGCTGACACTGTAAATGTACTAAGTTAATAACTTAAACCACAGTGTTTAAAAATAAGACATTTATATTTTTAATAAAAAATGTTACTTATAAATAACCAACCAACCAACCAACCAACCAACCAACCAACCAACCAACCAACCAACCAACCA